TTTTGATCAAGTGGACTGTCTTTAGTTCTTGTCTATCCTGTATTCTTTGATATCAGAATAAGTAAGTGACATCAAGTGCAGACTAAAATACTGTATGGGGTAACTCAGACTGGAATGCCATTTCTCATTGCTGTTCCTCTTTAAGAATCCATAGCTTGGCAATGAATCAAAACATGTAAGTCCTCAGCTTAAGATGGTTTGCTTAGGATGGTGCAAAAGCAATATGCATTGAGTAGAAACCATACTTCAAATTTTGACTTTAGATCTTTGCCTGGACCAGCAAATTTGCAGTTCAGTATTCCCTTGTGATGTGGGGCAGCAGCTACCAATCTGCCATGTGATCACAAGTAAACAACTCATACTCTAAGGTGTACTGTGTTGCTAAATTGTAACATTTGGTAGGTTAGGTGTGTTCAACATATTCTCACTGAAGGTATTTTCAACTTATGATGAGTTTATCAAGACATAGCCCCATTGGAAGTAGAGGGGCATCTAACTACATATTACTAGAATACAAAACAAATATTTAACAGCTAGATTTCCAAAAGCAAATAGTTTCTCAAAATACAAAAGGACCAGAGAAACCCGCCCTATGCTGGGACTGGGGCGCAATGCCTCCAGGGCTGCACCTAGGGCTCCCCCCAACGTCGACCCTCGAAGGCCTGTGGAGCAGAGCCCTGAGGCCTGCTGGGGGCTGGAGTCTCAAGGACTCGAACGTGTGAGCACGTGTGAAGGAGGGAAGATTGGTAGATTCATGTGGCCTTGTTAATGATTGAGTAATGATGGAAACGGATCCAAAATAAAAAGTGACTTCTCTACCAAAGCAATAGAAGATTCTTCATATCACCCTCCATTGCTGAATTCATTTTTGAAGAAGATGCAAAACAAGTGAAATACAGAAAACTGAAGAGAAGAAAACCTCATTTTGGAACTTTCTCCTTGACTATTCCTAACCCCCTCTTTCTACTTGTTTTAATTTTGTTCTGAATTTATAAATATTGAAGACCAAAGAAATAGAATATATATTTAGGAGCTTTATACCAAGAAATTTGCCTTCTGTGGAGGGAAAAGTGTATCAAGTTCCTGATTTTTTTTTAAACAAGGTTTCATATATGTTTAGAGTTTAAGACAAACATAAATACATATCTGCACACTATTTTTAGCAGTTGTGTAAGAATAATGACATTTATGTTTTAAGGACTTTGTCATGTGGTTGTTTGCCACTGGAGTTGACTACTCAGAAGATCTTTTATAGTGCTCTAATATTATATTTTTTGTCTATCACCTTGATGACATTACTTGCCCACACCTGAGGCCACCTGTCTGTATAGCTATGACCTTGTTATGAACAGTTCCCACGCACTGTGCAAATGTCCATGTATTACCTATTTAAGCAACATCATAGTGCCGTTACTCAAGGAAGTTGAATGAGGTGAACATAGACATAGCTCTTTCCCCTTACCCCCTTTTTAAAATGTAACAAATACTTTTTATGTTCCCCTTCCCGCTTCCTCTTTCCCCTTCCCCCTTTGGAATCGAGTCAGGAACTAGGTAGTTTAGGATGAGCAATTAAAGGGACTCAGAAAGTGAGCCACCCAGAGCCAGGCTTCTTTGTGCTTCATCACAAGGCATGCTACTGGCCAGACTGCTTAAGCACCTTTTTAACAAGAAGACCTCATGAGAGAACCAGCTGATAGCCTCAAGGAGTTTGGAAAACAGGACCACAGAGGTTGGAAAACAGGACCACAGAGGTTACACTCTGGGATCCTGGCCATGAGGTTGGATGCCTCACCTTGCTGAAAAGAGACACTGGACCTAAATGGCGCAGTATGACTTTGTTCCTGCTTGGCTAAATTTCTCAACACCACAGTCAGCTAAATTACCTACATCTGCCTTTGAAAAACACGGAGAGCACCTGCCCTGAGGTGAGCCATTGTTGACACAATTCCTCTGATGGCTTTTTTAACAATGGGCCCCTTTCATGGCATCAGCCCTCCCTCTTCCGCCATGATTCTGTGGACTCTGGTGTCTCTAAGAGAACATATGCTGGAATCACAGGGAACCTATCTGGTTGGCATAGTTCTTCCTGAGGTCATGGTGGCATGAACCAGCGTAGAGGAGGTGGCACAGGGAACCATCAACACTGGAATGGCAGTTTTCATTCCGGAAAGGCTGTGCCTTTCAAGAAAAGCCACCTACAGAGATTAGGGAAGAAAAGAAAGAAGACAAGGTGGAAAAGTTGCAGTTTGAAGAGGAAGACTTGCCTTCTTTGAATCCAGAAGCTGGCAAACAGAATCAGCCATGCAGACCTATTGGGACCCCTTCTGGAGTGTGGGAAAACCCACCTAGTGCCAAGCAACCCTCCAAGATTCTAGTTATCAAAAAAGTTTCCAAAGAGGATCCTGCTGCTGTCTTCTCTGCTGCATTCACCTCACCAGGATCTCACCATGCAAATGGGAACAAATCATCAACTATGGTTCCAAGTGTCTACAAAAACTTGGTTCCTAAGCCTGCACCACCTCTTTCCAAGCCCAATGCATGGAAATCTAGCAGAATGGAACACAAATCAGGATCCCTTTCCTCTGGCCGGGAGTCATTTACCAATCCAATTTCTGTTACCAAACCAGTGGTACTGGCTGGTGGCGCAGTTCTCAGCTCTCCCAAAGAGAGTCCCTCCAGCATTACCCCTCCAATTGAGATCAGCTTCTCTCCTCTAAGTTGACCAGCCAAACCACTGACAGGAAGAGTGAATTCCTAAAGACTCTGAAGGATGACTGAAATGGAGACTTTGCAGAGAACAGAGACTGTGACAAGCTGGAGGATTTGGAGGACAACAGCACACCTGAACCAAAGGAAAATGGGGAGGAAGGCTGTCTTCAGAATGGTCTCTCTCTCCCTGTAGTAGAAGGGGGTGGCCCTTTCACACTCTCTGGAAGCAGAGCACAGGTTATTGAAATCAATGGGATGGCAAGAATATCCTGAAAATGATGAGAATTGCTTCCTCTCACAGAGGATGAGCTAAAAGAGTTCCATATAAAGACAGAGCAGCTGAGAAGAAATGGCTTCAGAAAGAATGGCTTCTTGCAGAGCCGCTGTTCCAGCCTATTCTCCCCTTGGAGAAGCACTTGTAAAGCAGAGTTTGAGGACTCAGACACAGAAACGAGTAGCAGTGAAACATCAGATGACGATGCCTGGAAGTAGGCATATAAATGCTCACAGTTAATCTGACTTTGTAAACTCAGCTTGTGTGTTTAGGAAATATACAAAAGAAATTTTCTTTTCCTTTTCTTATGTTGTTGAATATTTCATGCACAAGGGAAATAATCATATCCCAAAGAAAGAGCAGTTGGCTTGTTTAGCTTATGTTGTGTTCTTCCCTGTTACCTGCTTAATAGAAGTTTGGGTGGTGGGAAAGATTTTTTAAATACACACACATAGTACATATGGGGCGATGCACAGATGGGAGCTGGCAGTGCAGAAATGCAGAGAGGAGGAGACACTGGTCTGCAGCAACAGCGTCTACTACTAGCCCTTGGGGCACTCACCCCTGTGCTCAAGCAATCATTGTCAATGACAAAGTGACTATTGAGGTTATAATTGTATTAAGTTAATGCTAATAATTTGGATATTTTATTTTATTTTTGGCTGCTCAGGTAACTTTAGCCCTTAACAAAACATATGTGGTTTTTTTGTTTGTTTTTGTTTTCTTTTTCCTTTTTGGGTACAGCTGAAAATATTTGGATATAGGAAATGTTGTATTATTCTCGAAGCCTTGATATTCAGGGTGGATTGTAAAATATAAATTTTTGTGATTTCAAAGATTATTTTGATAACATTATTTACAGATTTAAAAGATGTGGTTATCACAAGTCTGTTGAGGGGAAAAACCACTACATAAAATAACTTACTTGGAATAAATATTTTGCATCAATTTAAAAAACAATACAAAAGGACCAGTCTATACTTTTTGGTAATATCTGAGATTTCCCCCCAACTAGTTTTCTTTATTTCTATTTTTAGACTCTGACTCCTGAAATAAGGGACTATTATAACAAATCAAGATTCAGACAAATGTTAAGAAATGTGCCAAAAACACTTCATGCTGTCTTTCCTAGGATTCCTTGAATGCTCCAGACAGTCCCAGAAATGTAGCTTCAGACTATCCCCATTAGACATAGATTTAACCAACAAAGCAGGTATGCAACCCAAGGCTCAAACTGTTCTCCCTCAGCAAGCCTTTCCAACAATGCAGGCAAGTCAGTCACACAGGCTGCTTCCCTTTTAGTGTCTACTATAACTTATTCCTTATGTCTTTCAAGTTACTGATTATTTATAAAATAGACTGAAGTAAACTCAGTACACCCTCATTTTTCATTTAGTCAACATTTATTGAGCACTTTCCATCTTGGTACCTTAATGTGTCTGGGATAAGACAGTCCCCATGTGCTGGATGATTACCATAGAAATGGGTTGCCTAGCTTTCCTAAAGAGGGGATGTCTATCAGTCAAGATTTTGGGTTGTAAACTTTGGCAAAAAGAAATTTATTAGCAGGATTATAGGGTGCCACAGAATCACTGGAAGGCTAGAAAAAGAGAATAGGCAACCAGTACTCCAGGGAAGATCATGTGGCAGAAGCTTTAACTCCAACCCCTGATAACTTCAAAGGATAAACACTAAAACCCTAGGGAGAGTGTTCACTTGGAACAGCTTAATTCAGAGGTTTACCCCATGGCACCAGAAGGCATAAGAGTCATTTCTCTCTTTAAACATTTCACCAACAGATGTAAAAAATGATTCAAATCAACAAGAAGCTGACTGATACACTCAGCATAAAGACAAGCAAGGTAAAATTTGTAGGTCACTTGCTATATGTTAATAAAGGAACACAGACTTCAGAAAACTCCTTCAGAGCCCTGGAAACCAAGTTGTTTTTTTTTAACCCAACAAGGCCCACGTTTTTCAATTCTTTGAATATCTCAATGAAACTGACACGGGTACATTAAAATAGATAGGAAGTTATAATCTAGAGCTTACATATATTAACACTAATAATCATTATGTAATTACATATTGTACATCATATACTGTATTGAAGTTTTTATAGGTATTCCACATCTGGGATGATACAAAATGAGTTAATATTGATTTTCCCCCTTATCTTTGAATACACTTAATTCAGCAAGCTACTATGTTAACTTTTACAAAGTAGTCCTCATTCATATTAGAATTGACACAATCTATGAGAGAGTAAACTGATGCCTTTTCCCAGATCTCCTTTTAAAACATAAGCTGAAGGACAGGGAGGGAGGAAGAATATCCCTTATATTACTTAAATCACCCCCTAAAATTATGGATATTCATCTTTTTAAATTACTAAGAGGAACCAGTAATGTACTCCCTCTCCCACTCTTCAAAGAATGGGAAACAAGATGCTCTTCATAGAAATTTAACTTTCTGGCTAATTTAAAGACTAAAATTGACATTGGGATTAAGTACACCATACTCAATTTAACCACAGCTATCCCAAACCCTAATACCTCCACCTCTGTCCTGAGTCAACTGCTGCTGTGAATTCACACAATAGGTGTAAAAGCTAATATTTTAACTAATTTACTATGGTGGTGGCTTGAAGTACATTTCCTAATTGAATTCTTACAATCCTAAGGTTGAGCCCATTATTATATTTTTCAGATAAAGAAACTAAGTCAAAATCAAGTTAAATGTTACTCAAATAACTTGCAGAGTCTTCTGTTAGCAATCATGTGAGACTGAATAAGTCCTTTCCACGTATAGCAGAGCAACTCTGTAAACAGACTTATGTGAACACAAGTCCCTATCTCCTCCATCTTTTTAGCTGTGTGGTAAAGACCTCAAATTTTTTCATCAACAAAATGAAAATCACGATATCTACTTTGTGGGATATTGTGAAGTGGACTGGCCCTTCTTGAATTCCTATCTACTGGATAAACACCTTCTTAAGATTTCTATTTTTTAAAAAATATTTTTTTAATTGTTGATAGACCTTTATTTATTTATATGCGGCGCTAAGAATTGAACCCAGTGCCTCATACATGCTAGGCAAGTGTGCTACCAGCCAAGATTTCTATTTTCAAGAAATTGTTTTAACATGGAAGTTTTCTTTCTACATTCTTAAAAGTATCAGAAGGAATGTAGGAAGGATATCCCTTCCCATGATTCCAATCCTATATTTTCTTAAACAAATAAAGAATATAAAAGTGTGTAGGAAGTGTCGAGAAAATTTGATACTTTTGTGTTATGCTAACTGCTCAGCAGAGGTCTCAGCCAGATAAGCTGAAATAGAAGCAGCCTAAAAGTATCATACCATGCAAGCATAAGCCATGTTTTTAAAGGGTTGGCCAACTCTTCTCAGTGATCCAACCAAACTCAGAGGAAAGGAGAGAGAGAACTGTGGCATGTAAATCCATATAGTTTAGAATGAGATCTGGGTTCTCAAAATACTGTGAAATCCTGATGATGCAGAGAACTGTCAGGATGCTAAACCTAAGTACATCAGTTCTTCAATTCAACCAATTTCCAAAACTGATTGTCTCAAAGCAACAGCAGCTTCCTCCCTACATAGGAAGGTAGAAAAGTTGCTTCCTAACAGTATGTAATTTTAAACATGCTCATATTAAAACAAATACAGTATATAGGAAAACATCTCAAGAAATACCTTTCCTCACCTATAATTTTCACATCAATAATGTTATTTACAAATATGCCATATTTTTATTATAAATAAGAACACAAAGGCAAAACCACATTGGAATTCAGGTCTTCTAACAGTTGGTCCAGAGACTGATTAATTTTTTACTACCTGACACTAAAATTAAAAATTAGCCATCACTTTGTTACCCTAAGCATCTGTAATGTATTCTAATTTCTTCCCTGAAAAAAGATAACCTATTATTCAATATCCTTAACACACTTAGTCATAATAATATAAAAGTACAGAAACACAAAATACTAAGCATATATTTCTCTTTAATTAACTATATTTCCTAATACAGTAGCATGTGTAAAGAAAGTTATTTTCTTCCAAGTAAAAATACCTCATACTTTTTTTAGTATCTTTAAATAATATATAGGCACACACTAAAAATGTTTTTATTTTATGTATAAATAATGGGCAGATGTTATACCCATAAATTCTATATTCCATAACAATTAAGAACCTGTTTTTAAAAAGAAAGAAAACTCCGAAACAAATTTTAAGACACTAGGATTTCCTTGCTTCTACATCAGGGGGAGAAGGAAGGGAGCTTGCTCTAACAGGAATCACAAATTAGAACTGAGTATTCTCTAAAGCAGAAATAATATAGTGCCATTTCAAGTAAAGATTAGTCAGCTCTCCTCACAAACACTCACAACTACCTGCCAAGAACAGGTAAACCAGGTCAAAACAGCTTAGCATAACTAGGCTTCATGGTATTTGGCCATTATGCTCCTTTAGGCTAATAAATCAAAACAGAAAATACTAAAATAAAAATTAAAGATTTTGAGATTGCCATACAAATTGTTAGTTCCTTGTTGTATCCTCCCTTCTATAACATAATAAAGGGAACATTTTACTGCAAAGAAAATTTGATTTTACCTATCAATGGCCATGAATTTTTGTAATTATTTATTACAAAAATGCTGCCTAGTGCCATTATCCAAAAGGCATGACCATTCTGTCCACAATCCACTTGTGCATTTATAAACAGAATTTTCATGATTTACATAAGCATGTCTATCAATGAAGACATTACAATGAGGTGCAATCTAACATCCATAATCTGATGCTTTGCAGATAGCAATGTAGGAGAACAGTATTTGTAATCACCTTTCACTTCAGTGACCTTATATAAAAATTAATTATTTAGAATTAAATTCTAAGTCTCCAAAGGAGATTTTCAAATGTACACATAGAAATGATTATAGAGTAAGATTTTTAAGAAACATCCTCCATGTCCACATCCTGTTGTAACTGCTGTACCATTTTTTCTTCCAGCTGCTTTCCTTTGCCTTTAAATAAATAATAAAAAACATAATTAATTCAATGTGATCCTTTATACTTTATAAAGGATCCTATGTGCTTTACAATATTAACCAATTCTAAGAAATTTAAGAGTAATAAGCTGAACTTTTACAGATCTTAGATCTTATAAATGCATAAAGTAATAAGCATCTACAGACATTTTGCATTTCACCCTCAGTAAAACCCCTTTTTAAAAATAAAGTTACTGTGGCTCATTTCTGTTGTTCTGGGGGTACACTGAAAACAAATTTTATCTACTTTGTTTAAATAGAATTTAGTACAAATATAATCTAAGTAGGACTTTTTTTTTAATTTTCATTTTTTAGTTGTAGATGGACACAATATCTTTATTTTTTTATTTTTATGTGGTGCTGAGGATCGAACCCAGGGCCTCACACATGCTAGGCGAGCACTCTACCGCTGAGCCACAACCCCAGCCCTAAGTAGGACTTTTACACAAATCTACATGCAGTTTCAGAATTTGCCTTTTATTAATAAGACTTAGGCAAAATTTCTCTCTTTCATAACCTACATAAGTAAATTTTTAGAAAAAAAAATTATACTTGGTGCCAGGTGAGTATGCACCTCAATACTATGCACACAAATAACTGCCCCAAACAGTGACTACCAGTAAAATACAATAAATAACAAAGACAAGGTTTTAAAACAAAAAAGCAGCCCTCAGCCTTTAGTATCAGCATCACATGGAGATCTACTAACAGCCTGGGACTTTACATTTATAATAAGTTCCTCCAAATCATTCCAATATGCACCAAAGTTTGAGAACCACTAATAATCAAAACAGGTGTGAGGCAAAAATCTTCTATGAAATTACTACTCAGATCACTTTAACATGGGAAAAATATTGTATGCAAGACAGGTTATTATGAAGAGGAAAAAGAAACACCATATGCAACAGATTGGCCAAAACAGAAAAACTGAATTTTTTTTTTTTTTTTTAAATAGGGTCTCACTATGTTGTCCAGGCTGGTCTCAAACTTATCAAGTGGACCCTCCTATCTCAGCCTCTGGCTTAATAAATTATATTTTTATAAATAAAATCATATCATAAATGTACAATAAATAATATTTAAGTGTTTAAAAATACCGTAAGAAAGTACTCAATTACATAGACTACAAAAATATACACTTCATCTCTATACAAAAAACAGAACTCCCATGCAATATAGTACTGACCTGCAAGAGGGGCTCGGATAAGATGGATGTTTTGCTTGACTTCTTTAATGTCCTGAACTTTCTGTAGCTCTTTATTTTTCTTCAATCTAGGATAAAACATATCAAAGCCAAACTTCAGTTACTAAAAACTTCTTTAAGAAACAATAATTAATAGTATTGCTACTAAATTTCATTAAGTAAGCCGTACTGATAAGAAATGCAAACTAGATGATTACCTTTCTGTTCTCTCCCTTTTCTTCTTCCCCTACTCCCATCACTCAGAAGGAGCATATGAATAGTCTATCAGGGTCTTTCAAATTATTCTGAGGTGGCAAGCAATGAACTTTGCCATCTACCTTGCATCTATTCCCAAATTTAAAGGTAAAGTCACTTATTAAACCCTTAGAGATGTACATCTTTTTTTGGTACCGGGAAGTGAACTCAGGGGAACTTGGCCACTAAGCCACATCCCCAGCTCTATTTTGTATTTTATTTAAAGACAGGGTCTCATTGAATTGCTTAGTGCTCCCCCACCTATTGCAGAGGCTAGCTTTGAACTTGCAATCCTCCTGTCTCAGCCTCCCAAGCTGCTAGGATTACAGGCATATGCTACCGCCACTGGCTCAAGATGTACATTTTCTACCCCCAACAAATCAAACTCAAAAATATTATTGTCTAGTTTCTGCCTGCTTAAACAGGAATCCAACACTACCCACTTATTCATTCACTATATTCCTCCTGGTGCCTGGTATGACACAAAATGGGTGCTCAATATACATTTACTGAGTGAATGAAAGATATGATTAAAAAATTATCAAGTTTTGGACACCAATTTCTATTAAGTACATATGGCAACTCTACTATATAAAACAATCCGTTAAAATCTCTAGATCTTTCTCCTCAAATAAATAACAAGCTCTGTGTGTTGTAATTTTCTTTAACTATTCAGTAATTAAAAGAGCACAAACACCAGTGATGTTCAACAGAAGTGCTAACAAACTAGTTCTCAAATATTCAGGCCCCCTTTCTGATAGGTTTTAGCATTCTTTTAAGCCACAAAACTTAAAAACTTCAATGCTTTGACAGACTTCCACAGTGATTAGATTAAAAGCAAATGTTCTTGCTCCAGAGAAAGAGCTAATATTGGGTTAACGCAGAGAATTAGCTCTTAGAAGCTAATTAGAAGCTTAGAACTTCTTGTTAGCCATAAAACAGCAAACCAAAAAAACCCAAATAACCCAATCAATAAATGGGCAAAAGAGCTAAACAGACATTTCTCAAAAGAAAAAATACAAATGGTCAAAAAATACATGAAAAAAATGTTCACTATTACTGGCAATCAGAGGAATGGCAAAACAAAACTACATTGAGATTTCACCTCACTCCAATCAGTACAGCAACTATCAAGAATACAAAAAAATAAATGCTGATGAGGTATGGTCATACGGTGTTGGTAAACCTGCAAATTAGTATAATCACTTTGGAAAGCAGTTCAGAGATTCCTCAAAGACTAGGAAGAATCACCATGTGATCCAGCTATCCCATTTCTTGGTATTTCCCCGAAGAACTAAAATCAGCATACTATACTAATATAGTCACATCAATGACAATTCACAACAGTCAAGTTAGGGGACCACCCCAGATGCCCACAAACAGATAATGGTTAAAAAAAATACAGTATATACACACAATGGAGTTTTATTCAGCCATAATGAAGAATTAAAATTATCGAATTTACTGGTAAATAAATGAAACTGAATAACATCATGCTGAGTAAAATAAGCCAGACTCAGAAAGTTAAAGATCAAATGATTTCTCTTACAGAAGCTAGAGCAAAGTAAGTGGGAAAAGGGGGAGGGGTTTCCCCAAGAAAATAGAAGGGAGATCAGTGGAGTAGAGGAAGGGGATTGAGGCGGAAAGAAGAGGGATGGGAAAAAGGAAAAAATGTGGAATGCAACTGACAAAATTATGTTGTGTGTGTGTATGAATATACCACAATGAATTCCACCTCTATTTGAATCTATAGAGCATAAAATAAAGAAAAAACAGTGAATAAATAGAAGACCAGTAGAGTAGAAAAAAAGGGAAATAGGGACAGGGAGGGAGAAAGAGAGGAAAAGATGAAGCACTGGGGACTAAAATGGAACAACTTATATTCCATGCATATATGATTATGTCAAAATGAACCTTACTACTATGTGTAACTAAAATGCACTAATAAAAACATTTTTTTAAGGTGGAGGGAATGTTCCATAATACAACAATTTATACTCTTCAAAAGTATCAATGTAATATTAAAACAAACAAAAGATAAAAAACTATCCAGATTAAAGGAGATGAAAGAGATATGACAACTAAATGCAATGCATGATCCAGGATTTTTCTATTACTATGAAGGACACTACGAGAACAACTAGTGAAATTAAAACAGGGTCTACAGATCATATAATAATAGTTTTGCATTAATGTTTACTCCCTGATTTTGATAATTACACTGTGTTTATGGAAGAGAATATTCTTATTAAAGAATACTCAGGAAAAAAGGGCATTACATCTTCAACTTACCATATAGTATCAAAGATTAAGTAAATATGAGAAAATGCTATCAGAATATATGACAGTTCTTTATACTATTCGTCAAAGTTTTTTGCAAATCTAAAGTCATGTCAAAATAAAAAGTCTCGAAAGATAATAATGCTTCTAGATATCTACTATTACTCTACACAAATATTCATACCTGTTCATTATAAATTTAGCTTGGCGTTTCTGTTTGATCTCTTCAACTCTCTTCATTGCATCAACTACAAAAAAATTCATAAAATCAGAAAACACGTGTACATTCAAGCAATATGATTATAATCAACAAGTGCTTTAATGAACATTTATTATTGATTTACAGATTAATTTAAGTGGAAAAAAATCCACTGCAAAAACAATCCTTACTGAAAAAGCTAAAAAAGGAATATACTTTTAGTTGACATCACTGTCAACCTTCTCTAATTTTTTTGCAAAGCCTTTGCTTTTAAACTTTTCTTATATTTAAACCAGTCCAGTGCTTTTCAAATTTTATCACACAGAGAGCTTGGATTATTGATAACTTTTCCCATTCTTAATTTGTAATCTCCATAGACAAAAGACAGCACATTGCTAGTCATGAAAATTTTTTCTTCAAGTACCTTGGATACGGTGTGGTCATGACAAATACTGGTAAAATGAACCAATCAATATTGCTACATTCTCAACTACCATAATCCAACTGTTTTGAAAAATGTCTACGGGAGTCATGGCTATCAAGAAAATGAGTTCAATTATAATCCAGAATGTATATCAGTACTATCCAATAAGACAAAATACATATGTAATTTTAAATTGTCCAGTAGCTGTATTTAAAAAAAAAAAGTAAAAAGGCACAGGTGGAAATAAAAGGATAAATCTTGTTTAGCTCAACGTATCCAAAAAAGCTGTCATTTTCAACATGTACAGCAACACAAAAAATTGTTAATCAAATATTTGATCTCTGTTTTCATACTAAGTCTTCACAATCCAATATGAATTTTACATATATAACACATCTCAATTCTGACTAGTCATATATATGTGAAAAATGGGGAGTAACTAGGAATGAACAAATTCCTTAGAAGAGTATAATATATTTTTCTGGAACACTACTGACAATTTTTACTGTATAAGAAACAATTTTTAGACTTTCATACTGTCTACCCAGCAGCTCTTTTTCAAAAGTCTATTTTTAGAATCCTAGTGCAAAAGGATAACAGAATCTGTACAGAAAAAAAAAAAATCAATGAATTAACACTGCTTCTTACAGAATTTACAGAGGTATTAATAAGTGGGGCTAGGAATGAGACTCTGTTATAATACCTGAACCAATTACTATCTAATGAGTACTCAATAAAGAGGGCAAAGACTATGTGTGACCTTGATCATGCATGAACAGTGGAATCTACAAGCTCTCTCAAGAGACTAAGTTTTACCACACATAGGACTTTTTTCATTAAAAGTCTGCCTACTTCTTGAGGGTGGAGAGTGGGGAAGACTAGGTATTATTTTAAATTTCAGTAAAATCTATAGTTTCATTTTTACGTAAGTCAAACACGTACAAGTTATCTTAGAAAAATTTGTAATGATCACCTTAAATGCTGTACTTTTTTTCTTTTTCTAGTTTGAAGGTGAAAGCCAGGCCTTAAGTATGCTAGGAAAGCAATCTACCACTAAGCTACATCCCCAGTCTGGTGTTTTTTTTTAAGTATTAAACTTTATAATGTCTTCAAAATACAGTTTATAGTCCTAAACTAAATGATCTAAAGTGGTAAAGTGCCTTGGAGTTTTATGTATATTTTAACTGTGCCACACTCAACTGAAGATTATTTTTCCTTCTCTATTTTTTTCAGAGTTTTGTATGTTTTTGACACCTCTGTGTGGGCCCTTCAAATTTAATTTTATATTATTTTTATAATGGAACCTCAGCCAACTCTGTAAAGGAATTCAAATAGCTCATAATTAAATATATAAATACAACCACGAAAAAGAGAATAAAAACATTTAAAAGCAAAGCAATAAAAATTATAGACCTAATATTTAAAGAACAAACTGACATTTAAAGTTATAGTAACACCCTAAACCAGTCTCTCCTGAATATTCTTTGTATTCCCCTGTGACTTACTAGTTTTATTCCATAGTTCTCGCTGGTATTTGACAGGTTCATTTCTACGTTTTTCAAATTCAAATGAGTTATCCTGCAAAAAGAAACACAGTGCTGGTAAAAGATGTAAAAAGGAAGCATTTCTTAAAACATTCTTTTTTTTACAAAAGTTCTGAGGGGACACATATTAGGATTTACCTTCCCCCACCAGTGTGATCCCAGAGAATATGGGTTTTCAATCTTTTTCTCCTTTTTATACCTCCATTTATAAGATGTTCACCTCTCTCTATATATACAGATGAGTCTCAAAGAGAGAGGAGTGGAGAATATTACCCCCATCTAAAGAGGGGCACTGAACAATGATGGTATAAAGGTATACATAAACTTTGGTATTATATTGAATCATATGAAGCTGCCATTATTCATAGATCAAAAGAGTCAAATAGCCAGGCACGGTGGTGCATGTCTGTAATCCCAGTGGCTCAGGAGGCTGAAGCAGGATGATCATAAGTTCAAAGCCAGCCTTAGCAAAAGCAAGGCACTAAGCAACTCAGCGAGTATCACTTGCATTTGAGGTGCTTTGCTGCTTCTTATTCATACTGAACATTATTTTTGTGACAATAATTATGATTGCACTTGCATCCGATCTAATACTATTTTCATGTTCACTGAAAAACACTGTTTCTGGGAAGCCAGAAAAGGGATTCACGCCAAATGTTTGTAGATACCACCCTTAAATAGTGCAGAGGGAAAAAGGTTATGGGTTCTGAAGGAAGAAGAGGCCGTAGAATAAGGGACAGTTTAAAATTCTTTTTCCCTCAAAGCTAGCCCATACTATAGCGTTCACTGTCTCCCTTTACAGGGAACAAGCATTAATAGATCCTTTTATCAACTCAATAACATCAATATGATCAGTGTGATACATCCAATGAAATCTCATTCTAGACTTCCCACTATTTCTCTTAATACCAAAACTACTAACAATCAGAAACTGACAAATGAGTGTTATTACAAACCTCATCTTGAACTGCCATTCAAGAATCCTTTAATCTCCTAGTTTCCTCTCAAATCCTTGAATAGCATAAACCAATTGTGTTCCTATACACCAGTGATGAATCAACTGCAAGAGAAATTAGGAAAACCACCCCCATTCACAATAGCTTCAATAAAAAATAAAATACTTGGGAATCAATCTAATAAAAGACGCAAAAGACCTTGACAATGAAAACTGCAGAACACTGAAGAAAGAAATTGAAGAAGACCTTTGTAAGATAAAATGATCTCCCACATTCTTGGATAAGCAGAATTAATATTGTCAAAATGTCCATACTACCAAAAGCGCTATACAATTTAATGCAATTCCTACTAAAATTCCAATGACATTCTTCACAGAAAAAGTAATCATGAAATTCATTTGGAAAAAAATAAGCCCAGAATAGCCAAAGCAATCCTCATCAAGAAAAGTGAACCAGGAGGCATCACAATACCAGACCTTAAATTATAATGCAGAGCTATAGTAATAAAAAACAGCACAGTATTGGAACCAAAATGGACATGAAAACTAAACCCACATAAATACAGTTATCTCATACTAGACAAAGGCACCATAAAAGTACCTTAGGGAAAAGATAGCTTCTTTAACATATGGTGCTGGGAAAATTGGAAATTCAAATATAGCAAAATGAAATTAAGGCCCTATCTCTCACCATGCACAAAATTCAACTCAAAGTGGATCAAGGACCTAGGCATTAGAGGCCATGTGCCTACTAGAAGAAAACGTACGCCCAACTCTCCATTGTGTCGGTTTAGGAACAAGCTTCCTCAACAAGACTCCTAAAGTGCAACAAGTAAAATCAAGAAACAATAAATGAGATGGTATCAAACTAAAAAGCTTCTTCACAGCAAAGGAAACAATTAACATGGAGAGCCAACAGAACAGAAGAAAATCTTTGCCACCTATACAGCCTCAATTTCCAGGATATATAAAGAACTCAAAAAATTTAACACCAAAAAACAAATAACCCAATCAATAAATGGGCAAGGAACTGAACAGACACTTTACAGAAGGAGAAATATGAATGGTCAACAAATATATGAAAAAATGTTCAACATCTCTAGCAATTAGAGAAATGCAAATTAAAACTACACTAAGACTCCACCTCACTGTAGTCAGAATGGCAATTATGAAGAATACAAGTCACAATAAATGTTGGTGAGGATGTTGGAAAAAAGGTACACTCATACACTGCTTGTGGGACTACAAACTAGTACAACACTGTGAAAAACAGTATGGAGATTCCTCAGAAAACTTGGAATGGAACCATCATTTGACCCAGTAACCCCACTCACCAGTATATGCCCAAAGAACTTAACATCAGCATACTACAGTGACACAGCTACATCAATGTTTACAGCAATTCAGTTCACAATAGCTAAGCTATGGAACCAACGTAGGTGCCCTTCAACAGATGGATAGATTAAGAAAATGTGGAACATACACATAATGGAATATTACTCAATCATAAAGAAGAATGAAATTAAGGCATTTGCTGGTAAATGAATGGAAATAGAGACAATCACACTAAGTGAAATAAGTCAATCCTCCAAAAAAACAAAGGCCAATGTTCTGATATGCAGATGCTAAAACACAATAAGAGGGAGGGGGAGGGAAGAACATAAGTTTATTATATTGGACAAAAGGGAATGAAGAGAAGGGAGAGAGATGGGAATAGGAAAGACAGTAGAATCAATCAAGACATAAATTTCCTATGCTGATGTATGAACACAAGACCAGTGTAACTCCACATCATGTTCAACCACAAGAATGGGATCGTAATTAGAATAAGTTATACTCCATGTATGTATAATATGTCAAAATACACTCTACTGTCATGTATATCTAAAAAGAACAAATAAAATAACCCCCCAAAAAATTCATTGAACAACAATTTCCAATTGTACCTCAATCCACTTAAATAGTTTTCCTTTGTTTTCGAGAGCTAGTCTTGTAAGGATAAGAAACAACTTCTATAAAACTGGTGATTTTTTCTTTTTCAAAAGCCTACAGAATGATGATTTTTAGGATCATGGGAGAATAAGATTATAACCAAATATTATGAAATACTCACAATCATGTTATAAGAACCCCTGTTATGGTTAATTAGATACATAAACCCTCCCCCCAAACTAAATTTTGGAAAATGTAAAAATCATATTAACAGCTAAATATACTCACCACTGTAAGCTCTTTGCCAGCTGCTTTCCGGAATGCTTTAGTCCACCTGACCTTGCGAGGATTACGCTTCTTTTTAAAGTTCTTATGACATTTGGATTTACAGAATCTGAATACCTACAAGAAAAGTTAAAAAATATTAAAAAAGGTCAACGTTAAAAATTGTCCTATCATAAGATGTTACCCCTGTAAAACAAAAAAAATTATAAAGTCTGAGAAATTACAACGGTTTCCACTCATAATTCTTTCTACTTAATCCATTTAGAAATGTGAGAGACATATGAGAATAAATGAAAACAGAACTCGTTTGTAACTGTTAAACATTACCCCAACTAAAGGATAAGGGGCCTGAAAATATAAATAAAAGCTACTAATCATTGTTATCAAATAATAAAAAATAATACCTTACAATGATCTTGAATAAAGGAAACAGTTTTAAGAAAAGCTATTTTAAGTCCCTTCTCAATTCAGGATAATTCTCAAAATTAAGGTTCTATTTATTCCAATGGGGGCAAAAGTTTCAAACAATCATTCTGAAATCTCCTTTGATTGAAATCTTTTCATCTGGATAAAACCACCAAATTTCAAACCAACAACAGATTGTCTAATTCTAAAGAATGTATTGACAGATCTAATAATAAGAGTTTATTACTTTGATTTTCCACCTTCATTCTCAAAGATCTGATCCTTTAATTAATAGTTAAGTTATAACTTAATGATGCTTCAATGTGTCCCTGTTTTTATAAGTCTAAATTGCATTATTTTGTTACTTTGCAGTATTATAGAACACAATTCAATTTGTGTATGTTAGTAGAGGAAATATTAAAAGTAATTCTTTGAGCTTATGGATCCTGATTAACTTGAAGTCTCTTACGTAGAAGATGTGACACAATTAAATATGTTAAAAGAACAGTATAAGTAATTTAAGTAAGCCTGTGTGTATATCACAAATCTTAATATTGCTCACTTTATATACATTGTTCTATAGGGAACTTCAAGCAGGTCACTACACACAGTAAGAAACTTTCCCTTCAATACCAATTTAAACCAATCTATACACAAACCTAGAGAGCCCTCTTAAAAAATCCGAATGACAATATTTGGTTAATTTCAAATCAACTAAAAAACATGAGAACTACTACAAGATCCTAGAGTAACCCACCAGGAACTGTTATCAGTAAACTGTATTTTAGTACTTTCAGCTCAAATAATATCACCTTTTAAATAAAAGTTTCCAACATTTAATACCTAATAGATAAGCCCTAAGCGAATCCTCATTTCTCAAATCTAGATAATGATGGGTTTGAACTTGTTCTGGGTCTTCTCAACTCCAAACAGAGCCTACAGGAAGTCTACTTGACTCCACACCTAATAGGTATTATCTGAATAGCAGAATGAAGTATTTGAAGAGATTGGAGTCACTGGAGATAGGATAGGATTCAATTAGCAAATAAGGACCACCTGCAAGCCTGAGGTTCTACTAGCTGGTAGGGATATCAGAATAATTAAAACATAGTGCCCTATCTTAAGAAGTTTAATCTAACAATGTGAGTCTTACTTTGCAAACAAAAACATTTGAGATCAGACCAAGAAATAAACAATGAGATTTTAAAACTATATAAATAACGTATAAAGTAATAATAATAATAAAAAAAATACATTAGGAAGTGGTTAAATCTATTCTGGGTAGGCCATGGATGGACTATGTATAAGCCAAAGCTTCACAGGCTCACATTTCCTTTTCATCTAGTCCCTTACCATCTTCAGTCTTCAACATACCAATAAATGATTCATAAACTACCCTGGCCTAACACTGTTCCAACCCTTCTTTTTCCACTAATCCAACCAACATTTATTAAGCCCTCATTAACAGTGTATGTAAGTATGGGAAAATATAGAGCAATAGCACTAACTTTGCCCTGTGAAGCCTCCTAAGAAGAGTAAGAGGAGAAGTAACTATCAAAGACTTCATGAGGTCTGGTGTTATAGCTCAGTGGTAGATCGCTTGCCTAGCACACATGAGGGACTGGGTTCGATCCTCAGCACCACATATAAATAAAATAACCGTATTGTGTCCACCTACAAATTAAAAAATTCTTTTTTAAAAAAGAGTCTCATGAGAAAAGACCATAAAAGCTGAAAGACTAGTTAGGAGGCTATACAGGTAACTCATACCAAGTTCAAATTGGAAGGACAGAAAGAATGTTAAGACATCATTATTCTTGCAGAGGCAAAATGGATAAGACTTGGAAAAAGTAAACACAAAAGATGAAAAATTCAATGACTCTCTGTTTCTAACAAAACTACCTTAAGAAGAGGGGTGGTATTAATTCAAAAAGCAAAAAGATTTGAGGCAGTAAGAATTTCTTTTTCAGTAGATCCACTGAGATACATGCAGAACTTCCCCACCCAATGGAAAATTCAGATATAGAGCTGAGGAGATACAGATTCAGGAATCATCAACATAAAAACGATGAGAAATTTTTTCTTTGTCAGTGCTTCAGGGCCTCTACCTCCAATCATTCCCATAATCAACTCTGTTCTGGGTCTACTGGTCTTCCTCTGGACCAAACTAACTCCTGGCCAATTCAACACTATCTTTGATAGCAACATAGACTTCCTCATCACCCTGAACTTCCACTGTGTCTACCAAATCAAAACCCAGCTCAACAGTTCTCATGAAGTTGTTACAATTCCAATATCCAGCTGAGAAGCACTACTGGATAAAAATCATGAGATCCTGATGACCAGATCATCTACAAACCACATTGTCCACTGGGAATGAGACCCCAATCTTGCAATCTTTTTGTTTTTATAAATTTCTGTGTTCCTACCAGGAAGTATTCAAAATCTTCTACATGCTTTAAGTTCCCAAAGAGGTTTGGTCCCTATCCTCCAGCAGGATCCCTTGCTCTTAATTTAATAAGGTTAACACCTCTGGTCTATAACAGAGGTATAAAGTCATATAGTAGGATCTACAATTTTATGTCAAAATCGCCTTTCACATCTTCTTCCCTTCTCCAACAAAGTTTCCAACTCCACACAGGTTATGAAAACCAGGAATCTGTATATTTAACAGGTGTCTAGTAATTCAGACACAAATGTAAGACAAGTTCAATTCTAGGAACTGGAGGAATAAGGTTCATTCTGATACAAGAGGGAAAATTCATTTATCATTCACAAAGTCATTCACAACTAGGCATGTCTATGTTTATGTTCACAGGCTTATTTCCGTATCTGTAGTCCCAAGCCTCTATCATTTACAATCCAACCACTTCCTCAGAAATATAATAGCTCTGTTCCTTATCTTTGCTCAAACTTTTAACTTTCCTTCAATCTAGAATGCCCTCTCCTTTCTCCACATGGGTAACTGCCCAGTCCTTTTTTAAAAATACTGAGGCAGGGCCTTGCGAAGTTGCTGAGGCTGCCCTCTACACTACCTGTGCCTCCCAGGTCGCTGGGATTACAGTCATATGCTACCATGCCCGACTCCTCTCGTTTCTTATGCAGTATTCAAAATCCGGTATACATGTCACTTCCAATTCCAACCTTCTCTATACATGACCCTCCACAACTCACCTCCAGTAACTCTACCTAACTTTCCTATTTAGCAAAAAAAACATTTCCATCAGTCTCTACGCACTGCGGACAGTCCCATCTCTTGTTCGTCCCTAGGGACACGGTCCTTCGCATATGCTTGATGAGACATGAGTTCAACAGTTTACTGGCTTCAGGAATTGGCCCTGACCCAATAACGATCAAACAGCCCCAACAGACGCCCCGGGATCCCCGGTGATGCTGGTTAGGATCGCTCCTCAATCCCAGCGCAGCCAACCCGCCCAAGATGGCCTTGGTGGAAAGCTCCGCTCGCGACAACAGCAAGGAGCAATTCTCCAAGCTGGACTGAGGACAGAGAAGCCGAGTAGGCGGCCGGCTCTCTCGCCAGGGCAGCGCGGAGAACCCAGACCACACCCCGCAGGCTCCGCAAAACCCGGAGCCGAGGGGGCGCGTTCTGGGCCCGCGGGAGCGCGGCTGGGCAGACGCTTGCCTCGGCCGCCTCACCTTGCAATCATTGCGGACGAACATCATGCCGTGGCCGGGGTAGATGGGCCCTGAACAGAAATAACACTTCTCGATACGCATGTTGAGGCCGCGTGTGTCCCCACCGACCCAACGGCGAGCTGAGGAGGAAGTGGCGCGCGGCGTCACAGGAAGTGATTCTCGTCCACGCCTCCGACCCGGAAAAGGCCAGTGTCTGAGCGCCCCTGGGATGCTATCCGAACACGACTGCGCCTCCTCGCGGCCACGCAAGCAAAAGCGCGGTCGTTTGGCGCAGGCGCAGAGCTGCAGCCTCGATCAGACTGGGAAAGGCAGACGTGGCTCTGTGGTGTCCTTCGAGCTCTGTCACAACGCCTAATTTTTCTTGGCGTTTACGCGTCTTATGTCTTTTCTTTATTGTGTTTTGCCCAAAGTTCTCTCCACACATTGGGCTGTCTCTAAGAACTCGTATTTCACTGCCCGCCCTGACTTCTGCCCCAGACTTGGCAGGTGTAACAATCGTGTGTGTTTGTGTCTTTCTGTACTCCTTCTTTATAACACTGCTGAACTTGCGGTTCAGCCTTTTCAACATCTCGCCGATGCCTGTTACCCCTCATTGGCATGAGTCACACTTAACAGTAAACCAAGAGATGGAAAATTATTTTGCTTTTCTTGAATCTCCTTCTCCTATCCTCCTGGACAATTAAAGAAAAGCCTCCCCCAGTGTTCCTGACCTCTTTACCCCGTTTCCTTCCAACTCCGTTTTATTTTGTTACTTCAACAAGAACTGCCCTACCCTTCCTACCCCCACGAGCAGCCTCCTTTTATCTTTGGTGTCGTTGGCCACATCTTTCATATGTTCTTAGTCCCATACGCAATGGCTTCCTCTGAAACTCTTCCCTTCAGACTATGATCATACTCAGTGATTCACATTAGTTTGAATGGGCGAGTAACCAGCCACACAAATTTTTATTTTCTTTCAGAACTAGTATAATTAAACCCAAAAGGAAGGGGAGAAAAATGTATTCCACATCTAACTAATGGTTATGAAATCTTGGCAATATTGTTTCTTTTCATTCATCCTGTTTTGGCACATATGATTCCTGAGTCTGAGGGCGTGTGTCTTTTATCATTAATGGAAAACTCAGCTATCTTCTATAGTTTTCATTCTGGAATTTTTTTTTAGTAGGACTTAACTCAGTTCAACATCTTTAATATTGTCGTCGTCTTCACCCAGATTTTTCATTTCTTTAGTGTAATTATTTAAAAACATTTGTACTTTGTGGTCTCCTTTTGAATACATTATTTGAAGTTCTTAAATGCCAACTCCTCTTGGCCTTATTCATGATTGGAGTAAGGGTTAGGAAGGAATGGATTCTAATTTGAAATTGTGGCTCAACCATAGTTGGGTGTTTTCTTCAGGATTTTAACAAGGTCTATGTAGAGATGTTTCTTCTGAACAAATTTTGATTGCTTTTACTAAGTATTCATTCCACAGAGAGTCGAGTTTTTCAATGTTAACTTTTAGTTTATTTTTCCTAGAAAAATTAGATCATATAAACTTGAATCTCAAACCTTGTAAAGAGCAGACATATGGTTATAAGCTATCACAGGAAACTAAGGGCATAGACCAAATCCTGGCTGTGTATTTGGGAAAGAGAATTCTCAGTTCCAGCACCCTACTTCTAACAGATTCAAACAGTACATAGCTGTTAAGACCAAGCATCTCAACTACTGATACTGGCAAAACCAAACCCAAAGCAAACCACTTTCAACATCAAGTTGTTTTAAGTTCCCTCTGTTGTCCTTTTTGAGGAGAAAAAGATAGTCTTGGGGCATCACTTACCTTCTTGAGAAATTATACATTTAAGATAGGTTCTTTAAATTTTATCCAGCATTATCTAAGTATTTTATAATGGAAACATGTTCTAGTTATATAGTCACCAACTGTCAAAAAAGACCTGGAAAATGCAACTATCGCATTTATAAAAATGCAAAACGAAATATTCCTTATTGAACATTTCTTAGATTGTTAGCCATCTTGATATGTCACAGGATAAGAATGTACTTCTCAAATTTCCTGATTTCTTATAATGAATCAATACAAACCTATTAGATATGAGCCTTTCTAAACATTTTTATGCCGTTTTTGTTTTCAAATTCTATTCCAGTATCTTTTAATATCAATAGTGACTCCTGTATTAAAAACTCTTTCACTTGATCCTCCTACCTCTTAAGTTCTTTGCTCAATTGACAAACATTTGAGTACCAGTTATATACCAAGCCCAGGTGATGGAACACAATTTTGACAAACTCCCCATCTCTGTCCTTGTGGAGCTTATATCTCAGTGAATGGGGAGAAACATAAATATATTGAGTAGCTGTGAGTGAAATTAAGAATAGCAAGCAGGATAATGGGTCAGAGAATGACAGCTTGGTTGGGGCTATGAAAGGGAGTGACTGCTATCTTATATAAAGTTGTCTGTAAAGTCCTTCTAGATCAGGTGACATATGAACAGTCTAAAAGGGTAGAAAAGGAAGCCACACAGATAACATGGAATACTAGCATTCGAGACAGCAGGAATAAAAATTGCAAGTGCTCTGAGGCAGGAGCATACTCACTGTTCCAAGGAAGCTGATGCACCAGAAAAATGTGAGTGATAAGGACAGTGACAGGAAATAAGGTCATATTGGCCGCCTCTCTACACATTTCCTCCTTATCCAGTTAGTAAATATACCCTTCCCATTGTCTCTTCCATTGTCTCTCAGTTCTGATCTTAATTCAAGCTTTAACCATCCTTGTTTTGTTTATCTGAGTTGCCTAGTACAACACTTTTTACAATATAGATGCTCAATAATATGAGATTATAATATTTTGAATTATTTTTTCCAGAATGTTATTTTACTGGACCTTAATGAGAATCTAATGGAATCTGTCCCTTAGCATGACAACCTTTTTGTGATTGGAAGTATTGTGATGAGAAATGAAGTTATGATCACACACAAACTTGACAGATTAGATCACTCTTTTATTATCTCTTAGTAAGCATAAGGTTCACTGAAGATATGCTTTACTTTTACACGGGATTGTAAATAGAAAAATACATTGACACACAAAAATATGGTACTTTGATATCAAATTTAAACAAATGATTTTCAAAGAGAATACTAGTTATTTAATTAATAAAGGTGGTTCTTGAGTGTGCACTGTTATGCATACATTTGATTGTGTGCTGTGTTTAAGGCCAATAGAATTTGTAGCTACTTATACATCCGATTCTTGAAAACTGAAACCTTGTCTTACTTTTAATTATACAAATAGACCACATAAAATGTGCCCTGATATATAACTGCTTAATTAAGGCACACTCCACTGAAGTCTTATGGCAGCTTTAGAAGGCACTGCTGTATGATTATGGCCCTGCCCTTGAAACATCTGGATATCTTCCTCATTAGAATACTGTTCAAATGTGTAGGCTTGAATGACTTATTTGGTATTTAAAAGAAGCCCTCATTTCAAGAATAGAAATATGTAAAATCTTAGTATCATGGTTAGGTTTGTTACAGGAGTGGTAAAAAGGCAGGAGCCAAAAACAAAAAACATGGTAAGTGTTCAATAAAAGGCCAGATGAAACTTATTGGAAAGTAAATTTTTCTTCCTACTTGTATTTTTCTAGTTACAGTTCTGCCAAATATTTGCTGCCACAAAATACATTTATTTTTATTTAAATTATAATAAGTGATATTTCTTCTAAACAACCACTAAGCTCTCTAGAAATTTTAATCTACAATATTTAAACCACTTTAATAAATAAGAATTTTCCTCAAAATGAAATACCTCTGAACTTTATAAGCTATTTCCATGAAGTATATTTTAAAACCACCTTTAATTTGGTATGAAGACACTTTGGCAATACAGCAGAATACATGATCTTGGCAAGACCGAGCAAGTACAGTAAACACCCATGATCCCAGTGAAAAATACAAGCTATAGAACACTTCAGTTTCTCTTAGATTGAACTAGAATACAAATCCATTTATCTTCTGACAAATAGCAAACAGACATTCTACACAATTAAAAACAAATTTCTTCAATTGCACCAATGAAAAAATAAAACAAGTTGCAAATATCAACCATACAGAGCCTAATGGTGAAGATAGAAGATTAGTAGTCTATAAGCTAATTGAAACTGCAGTCAGAGGATGCCAGACCAACATTATAAATATGAAGAAAAACAAGCTAAATATTTACTTATCACATATACGGAATAAACACCAGCCGTGTTCAGATGTGCCCAGGATACAGGCCAACTATAAATGCACTGAAGCTGTGAAATCTAGTTCCTGATCCTTCTATTGGTCCTTAGAGCAATGGGAATGTAGCTTTACGTGCTCATACTAATTAAGCCACCTCTGCCTCGAACCCCAACCCTTTTCCAACCAACAAAAATCATAATGAGTCTACAGTCACGATCAGTTTATCATCAATCCAGTTTATCCAGGATCTATAGATTCTGCCATGATTTGCCCTCTATTCATGTTAAAGGGAATGCTTAATCAAATTAATGCTCAAAGACACTAATCTGATGTGTATTTATATTCTTATTTAACATTCAAGTGGTTAAAATGGCGATTTTAGAAGGTTACCTATGGTAGGAGTTTGTAAATTTGGATTCAAAACTGTGATTATTTCATAACTATACCTAAGATCTTAATGTGAGGCTCTAGGTCTATTTGCATTAAGGCAGGTGGTATTTTCCATGTAATACACTCTTCTGTGGTTACCAGTTCTTGAATGATTTACTCTCATGAGCTAAGGTTGTAAAAGGCACTTTTGGCTCTGTGAAATATTTTTCCTAAATCTCAGGCTGAATCTTAAATGTTTACAAAGCTGCAACAAATTAAAGACTGGATGCTTAGTTAGTAGGTCTAAGGGAGATGGGGAGAAGCAGTTTGTACACAAGCCTATTAATCTCACTGTGCCTTGTGTCAGCCATAGGGAAGGTCACAGACACGGGCCATCTGAAATATGGTGCTGCACACTTGAGTTTTCAACAACCACATGTCCCCTTCTTTTCTTCATTTAATGGATCGGTAGTGGTGTGGCCATTGGATCGCACCACTCCTTCAGGAATCCAGGACTTGTCCACGCACCGTTCCATTCGCTTCATTATCAGGTCCAGGAGCATCTCAATCGCCTGACTTATGTTTGTCCCAT